GACAGATAGATAGATAGATAGATAGATAGATAGACACAGACAGACAGATAGATAGATAGATAATGCTATTACATATACCTATAATATTGTTATTATCATTGTACAAAATTAAGCTCTATGGTTCCATTACGCCAGTTCAGTTGTGGCTGCTGTGAAAGCTGTATTTTAAATGTTAAATGTAACATCTTGTAAAACACATACAGGTTCTGTTCGCTTTGGGTGTTGGAATGTGCGTGCGGTGGGCGGGGTCATCACGCTTATTTGCATACGAGTCACGCACACTTTAAAAGAAGCTGACGGACGTTTCTGGGATGTCTTACTTTCACATCTTCAAGAGAAGCTCCGTGCTTCGGGGGTTTTGTCGTCTTTTGTCGCGTTTCTGTTCATGTTTTTTTCTGGTGCAGTTATGCATAGGATTGTCTAAAGAGATCCTTTCATTCATTTGAAGAGCAGAAGACTGGTTTCACATAACTTATTTCAAATAAAACAGACAAGGCACTCTCTCAAAATGTGAGTATGAGTTTTGTGCTTGTTTGGTTATGTTATATTTTCTAGAGAAAGTTCTTCTAGAAATCTATATATTTTGACGATTTTATTAGTCTTTATATTACCTAAAACAAGCTTGGTGACTGTTCACAATTAAAAAAAAAAAATATATATATACATATATATATATATATATATATATATATAATAACAATATGAATATTATAAAAACCTAACGTACTGGAATAGACTAGGGGTTAGTAACAGCATCTGTGGTTTTGTAATATTTAAATCCTCAGCTCATTCAGTTGTAAAATAATATAACAGGCCACATAAGTACACTTCATAACGCTCTCATGTTAATTTAGCTTAATAATTGATAGGCCTAATAATAATAATATTCTTAATAATCTTAATAATAATAATATTCAAATAACTGCTTCATATGTAAACAACATATAATGTTACATCGACTATACAAATACGTAGCCTAATTTTACAATACTTTTTTATTAAACTTTGGATTCAAATAATCAAATTCATCATGTTTTGAGCATTTTTATAATCAGAAAATAATCACATTTGACCACAAACATTGTAATAAAACTGAATAGACAAAAGTTATGTGGTCAGATCAAATGTATTTGTAGTACGAATGCAACCCGTTAAAATGTAATAGTATTTGTAGTGCTTTAAAAATAAAAACAAAAAAAACTTCTCAAAATCCTGCTATAATGCAGCCCATTTGATTATGCAAAGCTTTTTTGGCAAATATGAGATACAAAACTTCGGCAAGTAAAACCACATTTGAATGGAATTCATTACGATTTGTTTCAAGGTTTTGGTCACACTTTAGTTTGGCGACCAGTTCTCACTATTAACCAACTATTAACTATGACTTTTCCCTCAAACTCCTAATTTGCTGCTTATTAATAGTTAATAAGGTAGTAGTTAAGTTTAGGTATAAAATAGGATTAAGGGATCTACAATATGGTCATGCAGAATAAGGCATTAATATGTGCTTCATTAGTACTAATTAACAGCCGATATCTTAGTAATATGCTTGCTAATAAGCAACTAGTTTATAGTGAGAATTGGCCTCTAAACTAAAGTGTTGCCAAGGTTTTAATATTGCTGAAGTTCACATATGTGACCCTGGAGCACAAAACCCGTCACAAGGGTCAATTTTTCGAAATTGAGATTTATACATGATCTGAAAGCTGAATAAATAAGCTTTCCATTGATGTATGGTTTGTTATGATAGGACAATATTTGGCTGAGATACAACTATTTGAAAATCTGGAATCTGAGGGAGCAAAAAAATCTAAATATTGAGAAAATCTGCTTTAAAGTTGTCCAAATTAAGTTCTTAACAATGCATATTACTAATCAAAAATGAAGTTTTGATATATTTACAATAGGACATTTACAAAATATCTTCATGGAACATGATCTTTACTTAATATCCTAATGATTTTTGGCATAAAAGAAAAATCAATAATTTTGACCCATACAATGTATTGTTGGCTATTGCTACAAATATACCCCAGCGACTTAAGACTGCTTTTGTGCTCCAGGGTCACATTTCTCGCTTCTCTCGTTTTTTGCCTATAGGATGACCGCCAGAGAACGATGGCGAGTTTACAAGCGCATCAGCTTCATGTTCTTCCTGGCTGTAGTCACGCTTACTGTGGTCCAGAAAGGAAACATCATGTCGATGCAAGACTTCCAGAGCGGCAGAATCGAGAGACAGGCGCGGATGGAGCTCATGGCGGAAGGCGACAAAAAAGACTCGATTAGCGTCAACTTCTGGAAGAGCGTTCAAAGAGTGGAGTCCACCACAGAAGGGGTGAGATTAACCCAAAAGCAAGGCCCCACGACGTGGGACGTCACCAGCTCCAACTGCAGCGTCAACCTCAACTTCTCTTCCTTGGAGTGGTTCACGGGTCTGGAAGCCAACTTCAAGCAATTCCTGCTCTACAGGCACTGCAGATACTTCCACATCCTCATGAATCACCCAGAGAAGTGCGCCGGAGATGTAGACTTGCTGATGGTCATCAAGTCGGTAATAACACAGTACGATCGAAGGGAGGTCATACGGAAAACCTGGGGCAAAGAACAAGTGATCGACGGGAAAAGAATCAAGACCCTTTTCCTTCTCGGAACGTCTTCCAACGAGGAAGAGCGGGCGAACCATCAGAAGCTTCTGGAATACGAGGATTACATCTACGGAGACATCCTGCAATGGGACTTCATGGATAGCTTCTTCAACCTGACCCTCAAGGAGATCCACTTCCTCAAATGGTTCTCCATCTACTGCGGAAACACCCGCTACATCTTCAAAGGCGACGACGACGTGTTCGTCAGCGTTCCCAACATCTTGGAGTATCTGGAAGTCAGCAAAGACTTGAAGGACCTCTTTGTCGGCGACGTTCTCTTCAAAGCCAAGCCCATTCGCAAAAAGCAGAACAAGTATTACATCCCACAAGCTTTGTATAACAAGACGCTCTACCCGCCGTACGCCGGCGGAGGCGGTTTCCTGATGGATGGACCTCTGGCTCGGAAACTCTACAGAGCTTGCGAAACTCTCAAACTCTATCCCATCGACGATGTGTTTCTGGGAATGTGTCTGGAGGTGCTTCAGGTGACCCCAATAAGGCACAACGCTTTCAAAACCTTTGGGCTGGTGAAGAATAAAACCAGTCGACTCAACAGGGAGCCGTGTTTCTTTAAGAGCATGCTAGTGGTACATAAACTGCTCCCGCCGGATTTGATAGACATGTGGAAACTGGTCAACAGTGACTTGATCTGTTCGCAGAAAATGGACTTCTTATAGTCCCAGACTTTCTGAATCTGAAAGAGGTCAGAATTCGTTCGTAAATGAAGCAAACGGAATGAAGGGTCTGCGGAGAGAACTTGCTCGAAGACAATACGTTCTCCTTTTTTGAGGAGATTTCTGGACAATGTTTTAACTTAATTTATGTACCAAATGACATGGTATGCAATTTGGATAATGTGAATAATATGTAAAGGATTCATTTTTCACTAGTTTTTTATTTTATTTTGAACATCAAGGCTACAAAACAAAAAATATCACCCCCAAATGAAAATAATTGACTCCTCATCATGTTGTTCTATGAATTTCTTTCTTCCGTGGAAGCATTTTTTATTATTTTTTTGGTCTATGCAGTAAAAGTCAAAGTGGTCTTGCTTTGGACCCCATTGAATTCAACTGTATAGACAAAAAAGTTTGCAAAAGACATAAGGTGTTTAAATTATGGCAGAATTTTTATTTTTGAGTGAACTATGACTGTGTCACAAGACTAAATGTGACTGTCCCAAACAGAAGGAAACGAGTCTCTACCTCACCATTTTTGTTTTAGTCCTTTAAGTAATTACCTTAACAGGTTTTCAAAGTAGATTCATTAAACAAGACCGTGTTATTTCTGCTGCAATGATGTACATTTCTGAAATTACAGTATATATTTGAATGATTGTAGCTCATCGAGATGTTTCATCTCTTAAGAGCTTTTATTTTTTGATTTGCCCATAGACTTGAGATGCATTTGGTAGAGGGTTTACTTTAAACTGCGAAACAGCACATTGTCTGGTACCTGTACATTTTGAATTAATTTATGAAATACCTCCTGGGATCAGAGGAGGCGGAGTCTGGTGTAGGATATTTAATTCTACTTGAAGGTTACGCAAAACACGGGCATTTGCAATCCAAACTGCACGGTCTGATTGTGTAAAAAATCACTGTAATGAACAAACTAAGGTGAAAATGGATTAGTATTTGTAAATAAACGTTTCTTCAAAAAGACCAAAGCGTTTGATATCCTTAAAAAAAACTGCCATTTGTAGTTCTGTTAACAAGAATTCAAGTAAAAGATCAAAAAGAGAGATAAAAAAAAAAAACATTGTATTGCATTTCTACAGCTCTATTTTCAAAGTTTCACAACGTATATATTTTAACATATACTTCAAATATATATCTCGAATATAATATATAACAGGTTTATACAATATTGAATATAAAATACACAAAAAATTGTCCAAATTTGACACTGTATATTAATACATTAGTACATAACTGATGTCTCAGGAATGTATAATTTTAATAATTCAGATATACATATACACACACATATACATATACAGTGGGTACAGAAAGTATTCAGACCCCCTTCAATTTTTCACTCTTTGTTATA